TGGCTGCCTATCGCCAGCATCGAAACGACCAGTACCACGAGACATGCACCCGAAATAGAAGTGTCAAAGAGCCGGATCGTCTTATATGAATGCGCCGAGTGCACAGAAGTCTTCCTCTATAGTGACCGAAAAAGAAGAGGATGGCGGGTTGAGACTCGGTGGGAGGGGGGAACCTTTGCGGCGGGAGGGAGATAAAATGAAGAGAAAGCTGGACGTCGGATATGTCGGACCACGTGTATGGGTCGACACACCATTTTTCCTCTTTATTATTAGTCGGTTGATCCCGTTGATGGTTCCAAGTCGGCGGGAATGTCCCCGGGCGCCAAGGTTGACCCTAATTGTCTTCAGCCTGTATTATTCGTACGTCCGTTGTAATCTTTTCTACCTTATTATGAACATGACGCGGCTGGCGGTGTACTTGTCATTAGTGAGATGGCAGATATACCCTATGACCGACAACACTCCGTACTCCGCGTGTCTTGGCCAGCAGCTGAAATAAGCTTAAGCGTGGGATTTCTCGTACCGTTGCGTACCTTATAATGTAGAGCTTCTTTGTGAAGGATCCTTGCCCCTTGACTGTTGGGGTCACAGGATCTGGTGCCTAGTGGTTCTCGACCGCTTGGCATCTTGGTATCGGGGTCTAGCGCCGCAAAAGCTGCGGTTCTTATCTGACAATGGCAATGACTGGCGGAGAAGCGAGAGAACGAGCCGGAGGGACAGTGGCCAAATACCTACCTTAGGTAATTACTTAGGTTAGTGGCGCTTCAATATGCTTGTTCCCTGTGGCTTGTCCAGGTCAAACGGTCATCGAAAACAAGGTACCTTAGTTACAAGGCGGGGTTGAGTCAGGCGTGGCAGCTAAGGTACCTAAGGTACCGGGGGACCTAGAGACCGCGTCATTACTCCGCCCTATACTCTACGTGTACAATTACCTAAAACCACTCTCAATATTCCTAGTAACGTACCTATGGTTCCAACTTTTTCGCAGAGGACCTGAAGTTACTCCGTATTACGAAATATATGTAATTACCTGACTGAGACTAAAAACGTCGGGGCGTCTGAGGCGGGAGACAGCAAGTGTAAAAACGCGTGTTCAGGTCTCGGACAAGTTCGGAAATACCCGTCATGGACGTACTTCGTACTTCGTCGTAAGCTGCACAGGGCAACCCACCTTTAGTTTCAGGTACATATATGTAGAAACGGACGTACTTGGGAACAACCCGTCTTGTTCACTTCGTAAGGCAAGGTACCCACCTGGTAAGGTAGTGTGTAATCCGTGCTTCATACGATTGTCCGGATGTCCAAAGAGTCCGAACTCCGAGTTTACTAACTACTCTTCCACATCGAACAAGTTCGAATACAACCAGCCAAGCGCCTAGAAAGCATCGGTGTGCCCGGACAAAGCAGACAAGGCCTTGTCAAGAGTGTTGGGACTAATACGAAAACCACGGGAGAAGGACATGGACGTTTTAGTAGATAGGCATATCTATCCTTTTTGTCACTTATTTGCTTCAGAGTGGTCGACGGCGAATCCTGGATCTGTGTGAAGCGATTCCATCTACGTTTATCAGTTCTCAGTTAGCAACACCCCAACAAGTGCGTCACACTACCCCCTCCCGGGGCGGCGTCTAATCAACTTTGTAAACCAAAGCGGTTTGTGTCATACAAACTCCCGTCCATTCGATGCGTTTTAGCGAGTGTCAGTTCTCATTCAGGCAAAGTAGAGTTAGACAAGCCTCAACTGAATAGAGAGATCGAAGAGACCGTTAAAGGGCCATAGTTAGTATACAGAGATGTTGATAAATACAGGTATGAATTCTAGATGCAGTTAGATCATTTCTCCCTACATCGTACACGATGTGAACGGAATTCCGGTGGGATGGCGAAGCACGCAGCCAAAAAGCCCCTTCCGCCAATCGTCCCTTGATCCCCCCAGATACGACCAGGGAGTGACACGGGAGAAGAGGTTTCAGTATGCAATTCCCTGTCATCGCAGGTCAAGTCCCGGATGATTTTCTTCAGAAGGCTGGCCACTCCCGGCATCTTACTGGGCGTAGGCGCTTCTAGATCCTGGGCATGTTTGCCCTGCAAGATCCCTGGACCCTCGGGGTGTTCCTTTTCGCTTGCTTCGCACCTGCATTTACCGGGACGTCTCACAATGGGATGTGTCTGTCACAGGGGCAGTTCGTTGCACGAAATGGTATCGCCAGTCCGGGTGCGTGGCTAAATCTGTCAGATGCAAGCCAACGGTACAGAGACGTCCGCTATTCCCGGCGGAGGAGGGAGTTATGAACTTCCTCGGTGAAGGATAACCGATTGTGGAGAAGAAACACACGTGGTGGTACTATGGCGGTTCGAGTCCCCGGTTGTTGGATTGGGGGTGTAGATCGCTTTTCAGGGTATGCGGTGTGAACGTTTCGTAGGGGAAGCGGCTCCCCATATTCCGAGACGGGTAAAACTAGCCGACCACGGCATGCTTGAAACAAGCATGACGGTTCGACGGGTAAAGCTGTTGTACTCCGGCTGCACTGGTTTGGCCTGGTTGAGCCTGGACTCAACTGATCTAGTAAGGTGTGTGTGGGCTGCCAAGTTTAGCAGTCACAGCGACCGAACCAGCGTGGGAAGGCGACCACGTCCCTGACGTTCTGAACGCCCGCGAGGTAGCTGAGCAGCCGGTCAAAGCCGAGGCCGAAACCGCCGTGCGGGCAAGAGCCCCATCTCCGGAGGTCGACATACCAGTCCAGGTTGCTCCGGCTGTTGTTGCCGGACGTCATCCCACGTGTGGCCATGGCTTCCTGGAGATGGGCCAGGCGATGCTCGCGCATCGAGCCGCCCGCAATTTCGCAGAGGTCGGGGACGAGCAGGTCGAAACAATCGACGGTGGTACCGAGCTGCCTGGTCCCGCTGGGGCAATCATCCCCCGAACCGGCGGTCTGAGGAGCGGTCGACGTCGACGACGACGACGGCAATGGCGACGTCGCCGTCGTCCTCATGTAGAATGCCTTCATGTCCCGGGGGTAGTGTGTCACGAATACGGGCCTGTAGATGCCCTGTTCGCCCGTTGCGCCCACTGTTTTGGCCAGGAACTTCTCGTGCTCGGAGTGCAGCCCTCCGTCCCACGTCGGCTTGTGCTCGAAGCGATGGGCCTCGGTTTGTAGGAGGTCGATCGCGTCGGTGTAGGTAATCCGGGGCCACTTCGAAGCCGGTGTCTGCATCATCCCGGCCCAACGACGGTCGACCTCGTCTACGGAAACGAGGTCGTCTTCTGCGGTACGTGACTTCCCGCGGTTATGTCGCTCACGTAGCTCCACGGCCGGTCTGGACGTATACAGGTTCGTGGCCAGGTGCCGTAGCATATCCTCCACGAGATCAAGGACGTCATCCATTTGTTCGACGAACGGCATTTCGGCTTCGAGCATGTAAAACTCGCTCATGTGTCTCGAGGTGTCGCTCTTCTCGGCGCGGAAGGTCGGGGAAAGCGTCCACACGTTGCCCAGGGACTGCGCCAGCGCTTCGAGGTGCAGCTGGGTAGAGACAGTGAGGTATTTGGGCCCACGGAAGAAGGTGTCCTCCGCCTTGTTCTTTGGAGCGGTCTCGGCCGAGCCAGCGGATACGGTAAATACTTCGCCCGCCCCTTCGCAGTCGGAAGATGTGATGATGGGCGGGTGGGTCTGGGTAAAGTTGCGGGACGCAAAGAACTGCGTCAAGGTCGCTACTGCATCTGAGCGTAGGCGAAGAATGGCGGTGTTCAAGGGCGTCCTCGAGCGCAGGTGTGGAATTGACCGTAGGTAGTCGGGTGTTTGGTATTTCTTTTGGATGGGATACGTCTGCATGGAGTTTCGTGGTCAGTTCAAGGAGCATCCCGATGTGGTTTTTTTACGGAGAAAACAGAATACATACTGATGCATCGGAGGGACCTAGAATATCCACATCGCTGACCTTCAGCTCGTGGCTCTGGTCGGCGTGGCTCGAAGGTACCCACGATCCTCGAAGCCGGATGGCAGCACCGACTCTCAACCCGGACCTGGGGACCGCATCAGTACTCGTAGAGGATGGAGGCAAAATCTCAGGCTGTAATATTCACCCTCCTGCCATCTGTTTCGGGACCAGAGCCTGGAGAGGCTTACGAGTTGATCCATCTCCGACATGGACGAAGATGTCCGATTTCATCGTCCTCACGGACCGAACATAGCCATTGACGACAACATCAGCGGCCTCCGTGCTGGGTCGCCAATCTAAGTATTCGGCGACGGTCCTCTGCGACTTTGAGGATTGGTATCTCTTGGCTTGGGAAACCGGGGACGGCAACGGAAACGGAAACGGTCGGCTAGGTCGTGATCGCAGGGCACTCGGCCAGAATTTCCGTAGGGTCGTCATGGCGGGCTAGCATGTGTGGGACGGTAAAACAACGGCCGAGCTATCGAACACATGGATACTTGTGGCTGGCAGTGAATACGATCATGGCCCATTAATGCGAGAAGCGAGGGGGCGGCGATATGGAAGGTCAAGATGGTTGGCGTGGGAAAAAGCGATGAAGCTTCGTCAAACCGCGAGGGTACGTACCGTTCTCACTCTATTCCCAGTATGGAATAGTTCAGGAGAGCTCGGACAAATATCTCGGTGAGCATGGTCTGTGCCGGTGTATCTCGTACGGGGTACCTTAGGTACCTGGGACAGCTCTGTGCTGGGAACGTAATTCTCTAATTTTCCCTCCGTAGTATTCACCAACACCGACACAACACCGACACAACACCATGGGAGTTGACATTGGACCAGAATTCGCAATGGGATTGTTTCTCGGCCAGTGCTCGTGATCGTACATGTTCGTACGGGCTTTGGCCTTTACTGTGGGCATCGGCTTTTGAGCCAGGCCGTCAGACAGCTCCTCGGACGGAACTCTTGCCGCAGCTCTCTGTGGTTTCAGACTCATGCCAGACATCTACCCGATCACTTGCGGCAAGGAAAAAGAAACTAGAGGGAGGGTTCTCTCCTGGACTAGCTACTCTGCTTGGGACTTGGGACGGGACTTGGGTCCTCTGTCCACGTCGCCCACGCATACGCATATCATATGCGAATCATCCTGGGCCGAGAATCGGAGAATCTTCGCTAGGAATCGATGTTCGTGTCCCAACGGAACGGAACGTTTTCTGACTGCTTCCGCATTCCTGTCTGGGGAGCGTTGTGGGTTCTTGCCGGCTATCAGACCGGCTTTGCTACCCGCTGATGCTGCTGCCCCGTCATCACGTACTCACTCACCTCCAGGATCCTGCACAACACGGAACCCGGGACAACGAGTCTTAGGTATGCAAGCCTCCGAGAGATATCCTCAGTCACTGTTCCCCTTGCTTCCCGGGGGTCTTGCATCCTCCCCTTTTTCGGAACAACAATAAAAAAGAATAATCTACTCTGAGAGCGTTCTCGCCCTACTCTTTACCAATGTCTTCTTCCCCGGGAGGCACTCCTGCGAGTCTCAAACTATCGAAATCTACTGGATCTGGTATGACCGCGGCATATTGCAGGCCCATCGAGATCAAAGTTCCCGAGATCACGGACAGTCTCGTGATACGAGACAGCGGTTTCTGCACGTTTCTGCAGGCAAGACATGCACGATCATCATGATACACCACAGTGACCACACATTGGCAAATCTATGAATCAAACCTCTACACTGTCTTCTATTCCCAGCGGCTACGGGAGTCGCCGACGTGAGTGGGTGAGATTCGGCGAGTATTAGTTCTTGGTTACACGCCATTTCTCACCGTTTCCTATCCCCCTTTTCACTCGCTTTGCTAAGGTTACAGAGTCGCCCCCTCTGGGGGCTCTTGGGGTTTTGGTTGCTTTTCTCTTGGTCTGTCTTCAGGGCCCCATCAGGTCGAAAAGAGGGTGATGGAGCACAGTTATGTGCTATGGGCTCCAGAGCTGTAAGGTAGTACAGAACGCGAAGTCCATGGGATATTTAAACTTCCCTCCCCCCTCAACAAGGATCCCTACATGATCAGGATACCTATCTTGGCCTCCGTCGTCATCTATTTGCCTTCTATCTCCCTCTCATTGATCCTCCAAGTCCCTAACGATTCCCTCTTGTTCACTGCAGCTCAGCCCTCGCCCCTTCCCCCCGGGGCTTTGTCCTAGTTCACCCCCATCTCCCCATCTCCCCATCATCTTCTCATAGTTCTACAGCAGTACAGCTCGGCCAGGCATCGTCATGCCCTCGTCGAAGCCTCTCAAAGTCAAACCCTCCGAGGTGGCGGCCGACACCAAAAGAAAGCTCATCCCAGAAGTCAACAACCGATACCGTAATAGATGGCCACCTTACTCGTTCCTCTTCGCCCAGCCGCTCAACGACGTCCCGCTTCCTCGCGGCCCACACATCCATCCCGAGCTTCCCAAGTTTTGTACGTCATTGCTTGTTGTTGGTTCTGGGCTTCCGTGGCTGCGGTATACCTAACGGATGCTGACCTGACTCTGGACCGGCAGACGTATACCTCGGTGATCCCGTGAACATTGCCATCAGTTGGGCGGAGAGCTTGGGCACACCCGTGCCGTTCATCTGTGCAGCGAATGAAAAACGCCCGGGTGGCGACTGGGAAACGGGAGTTGTTGGTTACGAGGTAAGTCTGCTTGAGCAGTCACCGTCGCCGTCACCGTCGCCGTCACCGTCACCGTCACTGTCACCGTCACCGCCTACGGCTCAAGTGTTTGCTTTGAAGCAACCGGCAACACAAGACTAACGATGCATGCTCCGGAATCGTATAGGAGAGATTGTGTCGCAGGAGTAATTTGTCCGCGACGTTGAGCAACCCCGACCCGAGCTCCTATCACCAGTCCAACTACCCCATTCCCATCGAAGGCGCGATTTACTCTCCCCATGTTGGTGAGTCTGCCCCCCA